AGTGACTGAAGTGTATCGAGAACAATTTCAGGCCCATTTCAGGTACGTCTTATGTCGAACCGAGCACTCATGACGCCTAATGGTGTGAGTAGGGCTTAAAAAATACCAGTATCATCGACACATATGTACCTCGTGCCTTCAAGGTCATCCAATATTAGAGTCACACGAGGTTACAAAATGAAGTCAATATTCATTGCGCCTTGTCCCTTTTAAGCAGATCTTGACATTCGACTTGAGTCAGCTTAGCATGCGCTCATATACAGACTGCGTGTATCTATTCGTAGACAACAAAAATGTAGGTTGACCTCGTTTAGCCCAATCTAATAGAGCGACAGCAAAACACGCTGAAAAATTACTTGAATACAAGGTTCTAGGAATTCAATACGAGGTTACTATACAAGGTTCCAGCAGGTATAGCTTGAACATGAAGCCAGTGGCTATTTACATTTCGATCTGACACACAAATATAAACAGCATATCAACAGTACCGGCATAACCTCTGCAGTTTGCACGAGAGTCGAGGAAGGACCAGGTGTCCCACATCCCCCACACCAAGCATGTTAGTGCTCACTTGTTCCGTGAGGCACTGGTACTACCCGGCAGAACCTGCTAGCGTCTTACTGATGATCTTGCCCGAAGCTGGGATAATTATGGGCCCCCCCACCCATCCTTATACACGCCGGCCTTCAGGCTCACGCAGAATGGCTTAAAGGGCTGGAGTTGTGGGACCTTATACAGGCTCTCCTCATGGGCGACAGCCTGCATTGTCAGCCTCCACAGCTCCTCCACGACAGACTTCTCATACGATATCTTTGCCATGGCATGCCAGGAAGCAACGTCTTCGTCGCTATGGTGGCCTTTGATCCGTTTTCGATGTGGCGGGCATTATTTATCTACGTCGCGCTATTCCTGGTGCTTCAATAGGCCATGCAACCTTTACTGACTCCTGCTCTCTGTACGGTTACCGTGACCATGAACATCATCGGAACCTTCTTCAGCGATAGCGAACCTTCTGGATCAACGTTTTATATCTGCCTCGTATAGCAGTCCCCGTCGGACCAGAGTTTTTTGTTAGCCATCACGACAGCCATGGCCTAGCTGGGTTTCAAGGTGCCCATTGTCAGTCTCTCAGGCTGCGCGAGTCAGCATGCGAGAGGTTTTCTGCAAGCCCTGCACCTTATGTTAGGCGGGACGATCCTCCTCAGTTCTTTTTGTCCCAGGAACGGCTTCCTCACATCCCATTATTGTACTGTAAACGGACTTGCGACGCTGACATACTGCAGCCAAGAGATTGACTTATAAAGCTTTTTTTCCTTTAAGCCATTTGTTTCGGTGAAATTGACCAATGATCTTCCTTTGATCGATATTGGATGTGTTTCAATGAAAACATTCTGGCCTGGTTGTCATACATATCATGGATATCATCTGAGTCCCAATGAAGCTTTGAATCACACTCCTTGATTTCAGCTTGGTGGAAGACCTCAGACCACACATCTTGAGTTCCGGTTGTGCAGAAATTTCCTTCGTGTACTGATAGCTATGTACATGACTACTAGCATGCCCACGTTTGGACACCTCTGCTCCAGCTCATCGAGTTTGGAATCGTCTGTGGTGGTCTCCCCTCCCCCCTTCAACGCTAAGGAAGCTAGCTCGACTGCGGAAGCTGGCAAAGAGTCAGGCATCTTTTCTCCCCCCAAACAGGAAATTAATGACGTAATAGACATATTAAGTCTCAACTGGGAAACTCGCCTCACCTCGCATGTGAACGAAAAATAGGGGGTCACGTGGGAATCCCTGGCCCATGCGGGGCCGCAGCTGCTCACCGCCGCTCGAGACCTGATCTGTGACGTGGCCGACACCGCTGGCGGGCCTGGCCGCCCAGGATGGGAGCCGGCCCGGAGCCTCGCTTGCAGTGCCGATTGGGCGCGCTCGCTGGCGGGAGGCGCGATAGGCGCGCAGCAGATCTGCCTCTCCCTCCGTCAGGGGTCCAGCCGGCGGGGGGCGGGGCACTCCGGGCGGGCGGGAGGAAGGGCAGAGCCTCAGGCGTGCGGCAGTTCTGCCTCTCCTTCGGTCAGGGGTCCAGCCGGCAGAGCGCAGGGCCGCCCCGGGGCGGGCGGGAGGAAGGGCAGCGCCTCAGGCGTGCGGCAGCCCTGCCTGTCCTCCGGTCAGGGGTCCAGCCGACAGAGCGCAGGGCCGCCCCGGGGCGGGCGGGAGGAAGGGCAGCGCTCCAGGCCGCGGATGCGTCTGAGGGCTCCGACCTTCCCATGCAGCGCCAGCGGGATTTGGCTTATTGTATTACCTCGTTTTCCACGCCAGTGGAGCCCGGCTAAGTGACGGGTGAGGCGTGTGGGACCACTGGCGCCGTTGGACTAATCAGTGCTTCAGGTCAAATTAAATTGGCGCCGCTGCTGGCCTGCCGCCGTGATCGCCGCTGTGACGCAGTTCGGGTCTAATCACAGTCTGCACTGACCGCTCTGGTTATGCATCGCCGCTCCCGTGTTCTGCGACTGTGGAACCGGCCCCGTCGGTTCGCTCGGAAATCGCGTTGCAGCAGACGAGGAGGCGCCGGCTGGCGCCCTTGATTGGCACTATTTTAGTCGTTTCACCGCCCGACGCCCGGAAGATTTATTCCAGATCTACCTGGCGCTGGGTGCTGTAACGCGATCTATTCTGAAGCGGTGCCGTGACCCGGGCGTTGATGGAGCGTCTCCTCTGGGCTCAGCCCAATCAGCAGCCGTTCGGGATGACAGCCTTGCTAATTACAAAGGGAGGAAGAGAGCGCTGCGGCGTCTTGACGTCAGCTCGACCTGTTGATTCATGTATCACCAAATCGGCTATGTCAGAACACTATCACTTGCAACCGGTCCAGAGATAGAAAAACGCAACAAATTGAGCAATGTTTGGCAATGCACACAGACTTATTGACGGACCTTTATGGACAAAGGGCTTTTGATACCGCTGCTTTGTATTCAACGGGCCAATTGAGCAGTCGACATCGTAGAAGACCACCGTAGGCGCGCAGAACAAACTGGCAACCACTGACATGGTCAATTTGGAGCGCGCGCCGTGTGAAGCTGGGCGGGCAGCCGGCTACCACTGAGGACGGCCGCCCTGGTGAAGATCTACCTCGCGCCGTGTGAAGCGGGGCGGGCAGCCGGATACCACTGAGGACGGCCCCCGGGTGAAGATCTACCTCGCGCCGTGTGAAGCGGGGCGGGCAGCCGGATACCACTGACGACGGCCCCCGGGTGAAGATCTACCTCGCGCCGTGTGAAGCGGGGCGGACAGCCGGATACCACTGAGGACGGCCGCCCGGGTGAAGATTTACCTCGCGCCGTGTGAAGCGGGGTGGGCAGCCGGCTACCACTGAGGACGGCCCCCGGGTGAAGATCTACCTCGCATCGCCCACAACAGGGCTCGGAAAACGAGTGTGGCTTTGAGCACGGTCGGGTTTTCACGGGATTCACAGACCTGACTGGCTGTGATACGCAGAAAAAATATGAAATGCGAATCTGAGCGTATAATTATTCACACACTTAGAAGAAAGACAAGTGCGTGCTGAAAATGAACTGACCACACTGAATCAGCAAGCATGGCTGATATGATATTGTTGGTGTAGCATACCAACGTCGGGCATGAGCGTGGTCACTGACAGTACCATATCTCAGAAACACTGAGACCCGAGGTTCATCCTAACGGCTCAAGTTGTTGCTTATTTCCCACAGGAACCTGCCCTTCGTGCGTGACCCAGCGGGCATTCCCACTTCCCGGAAGTGTGACCAGACAAAATGTGGGATCACATTTGTGCACCACGGGTCTTCTCAAGCACAACAAGCACAAAGCACACACGCAGGTTTATGCATCACATTCCCTAACAATAAATATGTATCGCAGATTTATGTTCACAGTTTACAGGCCTTAATATACACATCTTCGGCTGTAAAATTTCGTGTATTGAATCTGAGTCGCGAATCCTCACAGCCATGCTGCTTCGAAGTTATTATTTCGAAAGGAAGGTCTATGTGTTATGCGTGCTCATAAAAGGATCAACGCGGAGTAGCAAGCCCAACAAGTGGTAATATCTTCAGCGACTTAGAACCTACGCGTGATACCTAACTCAAAGGTGGGAGAAAATCTTGCGAGCCGATGCCCAAGACAGTAGAAGGAAATGGGCTCCGGCTATTGCACACCACCAGACACAAAGGTGCTTTTCCGTCTTCTGGTGCGTCCATTTAAGATTGACCTAAGTTCTCAACGCAGAATGTTAGCGGAAGAAAAATCAACACATAAAGAGTACTAACGCCGTTCATCACCCTGAAGCAGTCCAAGACACAGCATCGGTGGCTAGGCCAGCCATTCATGGCCTTCTGAACGCTAGGCGAGAACAATACTGAATAATGGACGACGAGAACGGCTTTACCTGTACTGGAAGCGACATCCCAGTCAGCTGAGATCTATACTGCATCAGGTGGATACATTCCTGATGAGACAAGACCGCAAACTTCTTGGAATTTCTCATGGACACCTGTGGCATGGCTGGTTATCTCCCCAAAAGAGGTATGCCGCGGGTGCTTATGCTCGCACGCAGCCAATGTGACGTGAACCAAGAGCCGCCGCAGCTGCAGGCCTCACTGAGGGTCAGCTCCTTCGGCCCGTTGTGACGTCACGCCCGTCGATGCTCTGCCTGACTGCCCCCGGAGCTGCGCAGTATTCATTTCATTGTATGGCTCCTATCCCTGCTATGTCCTAAAGATGAATATAACCAGTACCAGCTGGTGTATCTGGACACGTGATACAAAATTTGCTGAAAATAGCGGCTGACGAAAATCAGGCACGAATTAGAGACGCTACTATCATCCGCAAAGTGCCGACCTCGCTCTTCTGTCGTGAGGGGACTATTCAGTACACAATTACGGGCAACATTGGCAAGCTGCCGGGCCAAAAGGTCAATGTGTCACTCGACTGGATCGGATGTCAACGTCTGACTGGCGCGCTCACAGGTAATGCAGAAGTCTTGTCGCTGTAGCTTCATGTACGGCGACCTCACCGACAAGGACACCATCACTCGGTTGGAGGATGGCCTGGAGCAGCAAAACCAGGACCAGATGGAAATACTCATCTACAAGAAAAACCGTGAGTGCTCATGTCAGTGACCGGCAACAGCATGATGGGAAACGTCTGTTTTACTGTTAGTTATAACTTGTGTGATTGCTGGTAAGAGGATGCAAAATGCCTGCTGCGTAGTGGACAGATATGTTTGTCGCGAACGCCATTGCCACATGCGCTCGTAGGCCAATATTAAATTTGTGATTCAAACCTGTTGTGAATGTTGACGTAATGACATAGTACTTGCAAAACCAATTCGCCACTGTTTTGGTATGGCAAACTTCTGGTTGTGAAATTATGAGCATATTTCTATGTTTAAAGATTACAATGCGTCAAAGCTTATGGAATGTGAGTGAAGTGAAGAAAGCATACCTGAAATACGAAATTGGAGGAGTAGTTTGATCCAACAATGGCAGAGTGTTGAAATAGAGGGGCTTCAAACGCGAATGACAATCAGCTTATTTGAGACCAAGAGAAAATATGCTATAATGCCCAGCATCTTTAATCCCGCAGTTAAAAATATTCTTAGCCCAAACCACGAATATATTTCTCAGCTTGTTAACACCTGGAATGCATCTCCATCTAACTTAGTGCTGTCCCCCCGATCTCCATTAACATGGTGTGCTATTACCTTGTGCAAATATGTCTCCGGCGCACAAGGTCATTGTGCCGGCTGCATGATCTCTGTTGCTAACTTCAGCTTAGCCGTCAGGTTCACGCGCGCATTCTTCGGACTGCGCAAGCCGTAGCTCTCGATGACGGTCGCCCACTGGTGGAGTCAGCTGACGCCATCTTGTCACCGGTGTTCAGTTGTGACTCCGCCCTGGGTGACTCGGCCCGGCTCCTGACTCACCTTCACCTGACACTCCTCCATCTGGCGCGAGAGCTCTCATCAGCGGCGTACCCTTGTGACTCGGCCCCGACTCACCTTCAACTGACACTCCCCCATCCGGCAGGAGAGCTCTCATCAGCGGCGTACCCCTGTGATCCGGCCCCGACTCACTTTCAACTGGCACTCCTCCATCTGGCGCGAGAGCTCTCATCAACGGCGTACCCTTGTGATCCGGCCCCGACTCACCTTCAACTGACACTCTTCCATCTGGCGCGAGAGCTCTCATCAGCGGCGCACCCTTGTGATCCGGCCCCGACTCACCTTCACCTGACACTCTTCCATCTGGCGCGAGAGCTCTCATCAGCGGCGCACCCTTGTGATCCGGCCCCGACTCACCTTCAACTGACACTTTTCCATCTGGCGCGAAAGCTCTCATCAGTGGCGTCCCGTTGTGACCCGGCCCTGTCTCACCTGCACCTGATACTCCCCCATCCGGCAGGAGAGCTCTCGTCAGCGGCGTCCCGTTGTGACTCGGCCCGGCTCCTGACTCACCTCCCCCTTGACACTCCTCCATCTGACGCGAGAGCTCTCATCAACGGCGTCCCGTTGTGACCCGGCCCTGTCTCACCTGCACCTGATACTCCCCCATCCGGCAGGAGAGCTCTCGTCAGCGGCGTCCCGTTGTGACTCGGCCCGGCTCCTGACTCACCTCCCCCTTGATACTCCTCCATCTGGCGCGAGAGCTCTCGTCAGCGGCGTCCCCTTGTGACCCGGCCCTGACTCACCTTCGACTGACACTCCTCCATCTGGCAGGAGAGCTCCCTTCAGCGGCGTCCCCTTGTGACTCGGCCCGGCTCCTGACTCACCTCCCCCTTGACACTCCTCCATCTGGCGCGAGAGCTCTCGTCAGTGGCGTCGGCTGCGCCTCGTCTGCGTTCGATGCGGGAATCGCGAAAGTTTTGAGCAGCGGCTCAGCAGGCTTCACAGAGCATACGCGGGCCGACCGCCCGCTCGCTGAAGTTGGCACCCGAGCAGGCCAAGTTACATCATTAGAAAAGCCCATATCGGCAGAGATGCTTCTTAATTAAGAAAAACTTGATGAAATTGTTTTGGCGTCATCACACCGCGTTCATCACACGTCTGGAAGTTTCCACATTCCTTGGTAAATAGCAACATGCTCAATGACCAGTTGTAGCCGGAGTAGCGAGAAGGCAGATTTTCAACATTCTTAGCGACCGAACAGATAAACGCTGCAGATCAGTTATTACCTGTGATTTTAAAAATCATTTAAACTCTCGTAAATCTGGTTTATTGGCGAAAATACCATCATGTTGCAATGATATTAGACATTCAAAACGAAGTGACAGCATGCCGAGAACAAATCGCCCAATACTGCTTTGTTCAGGAGCTCCCCATGGTCATGGCATGGAAACTTCTTATGCTTCTAGACAGCCTCATGAATGTTGTTGCAGGATTTAACTGACGTAGAACGCTGTCATGTACTTTATTCAATTTATTGGACCAATCATAGCGCGTGTTAAGTCGCGAAAAACGGATATCGCAGCACGAGACATTAATGTTGAGCTTTCCAGCTTCGCAATATTGTGAGCCCATGGTAAGCACTGGTAGAAGACCGAACACTCTAATAACACATTTTCAGAGAGAGCATGGGGACGTCACACGGAAGAGAATGGAGTAAAGGATCTGCTCCATACACGTCTTGGCACGTTTCTGGGCTCCTGTGCAACGAGCATGGCTGGCCAGTTGCGTTCATGCGCTTCTGGCAGAGACTGTGGTGCCCTGACATCACCGAGCGAGCTGTCGCAGCTGGTGCAGTGGTGTGGCAGCTTCAGCGTCTGCTCGCCGCTCCGCAGGTACGCCACTTTGGTTGCTGCTGCACCTGGCGCCTATTCGCAACGAGAAGGAGGTTGTCGTGCTGTTCCTGCTGACGCTGCGCGACATTACCGCTCTAAAGCAGCCCATCGAGGCCGATGACAGTAGAGGTACGGAACGCCCCCCCCCCCCCCCCACGTCACGCATGGTGTCACCAGATGTCGACACGGCCCATAGGCTCCGATTAGATCAGCGGTGACGGCTGGTGAGCTCGCGCAGCCGTCTGGAAGCTGCCTTAGCTGCACAGCTGACCGGAATGCAGTACGTCGCTTAAGAACACCCGTGACCCTATGGATGCGGAGTGTTAAAGTTACCTCAACTACGGTGCGGGGTGCAGGGTTGCACACATAGCGTGCTGCGTGCGGGCGTGGTCTCGTGCGGCCCGCCAGAGCGCCAGCCCGTTTGGCCCCCGATGACCCCGCCGCTGACCCCGCCGCTGACCCCGCCGCTGACCCCGCCGTGCCATCCCGCAGCAGGTCTGAGCAAGTTCGCCAAGCTGGCCCGCTCGGTGACCCGGTCAAGGACGGTGCTCGCTTCCCAGTTCTCCTCCAACGTGGCTGGCGTCAAGGAGAACGGCAAGCAGTCCAACATTGCTCACGTGAGTGCTGGCCCAGTACGGCGGCATGGCCTGGAACGATAGCGGCCTGGGTGCATGCAGAACAGCACACTCTGGCGGACTATGATTCGGTTACTCATGCATAGACCTATCGTTTGATGTGTTTTACAGAGATGTGTTCGGAGACATCATTCCGTGGTTGGCGTTTCGATGGTAGTGCAGTTATTTACTGTTTCACTGTTGGGGACCAGCGCGACAATGTGGATCCTAAACAGCCTCAATCACTATGAACGTCGCTTGAACAATTTTTGCTGTTGCCATGAATGCATCTGTTGTTTGGCAGCTGGAGCCAAAATGCTTGCCGTTTGCGTTCGGTGATGACATTCTATCCTCAACAGCTCAGCGTCGACTGGTCCACAGCACATGAATATGGTCGGTCATTTCATGAAGGCATGGTGAAATATCCACGTCATCTGCACGCCATGATACCAGATACAGACCCAGAGTACGCGAGCCCTACTACGCAACCGCAAGCTTCAGGAGCGTGTGCTCCGAGCTAATTTAGGCCGGCTGCTTGTCAGGTTATGAGTCCCGATGGCGATTTGCGCCCGGCAATGGTCCTTTATGCGGAACTTGCAGAGTAGGTTGCATGCTATATAGCCCTCGGTTTGGAGAGTTGGGCTGTTAAATCGTGCTTAGCTCGTCGGACGCCGTTTATGCGGCGGCCGCACGTCGCACAGTCGCCAGGTCATCAGCCGACTTCCCACGAAACGGCCGGACGAATCGGCCACGACTGGATGGCTGGCCGCTCCCAGAACCGTCACCAGGCCTCTGGTTCCGGCTGTCGGCTCAGATATTTGTGGCGGAGGGCCGGTCGCCACCACGCTGTAGCGGTCCGGCTTGTCAGGAGTCTTTCCATCCGCCCCTGATGGCGAGCACGTGACGTCACCTGTGCAGGGGATCGATGACGGGTCGCGTGAGCCCGGCTTCGTGAGGGTTCGACCATATACGTCGCCACCGATGATTACCCCGCTCCCAATGCCGTCCCGCAGCCACGGCCTTCCCCGCTCGTAACACGGAACGGTCTGGCTCGCCCACGGGCGTGGACTAAGTTCAGGAGTGTGCGTCAGAGTCTGAGCCCAAGTCCGGCTATCCTGTGATGGGATCCGAGTAGTCAGTCTTCTCCTGTTACGTCAGGGGTGGTAAAAATGTACTTTTTGCCGCGGACCAAATTTGGGGAGGAAAAATGTCGCCAGCAGCGTAATACGATACCATACGCTAAAATGGTCATCAAGTCTATGCCTAATAGCGTGTCAGCAATTAACCTATCATCGAAAGTCTCTTTCATCACTGCAATTTCAATAAAGTGCACATAGCGCAAACGTTCAGTCATACACTGCCCTTGAATAAATGTCAGGATAAGTGCTGCTGCTAGGAAAGCAGGCACACCTTCTCTAGACTAATGAGATCACATAGCCCAATCACAACAAGAGCTGTCTTTCACCCTCGGGACTTGCCGGGGCCTCACGTTTAAAATCAGTCTACGGCTGGATTTGCTTTCTTCGGCCGCAATAAAAAAACAACGAAGGACCTCGATAGCCAGGGCAGCAGAATGTATGCAGATTTCGAACCAGTAGCAAGTGGCACTGAACGTGACGTCTAATATGGGGTCTCCACGAGGCCATTTCCCGTTTTGAAAATAACGTGTGCGCTTCAAGCTCCATCTCAACCGTCATCAAACTATGCACCATACCTTAGGAATACTCCCAGCCTGGCCTGACATGTTTTGACTGGTGGGCGCCTTTCGCCGTGCTCCAAGCAAATTGCATCGGAATGTTTTAATAACTTCACATCAGGAGAATATCTCTTTCTGAACAAGTTACTTGCCCTGATAGGAGGGCAGAGGGTGGGTGATGCGACCCCCCTCCCCTTATAGTTTTCTGAGAAGACCAATGCGGCATATTGTGCAGTCTTGCTCAAATATTCGGAAGCCTCTGAGGCATCCATTGTGCGCGTGTTGGCATCAAAAGTGTCCCATCAAATTCACAGTTCTGTGAACGGGAAGAAGGCTGGTCGCTTGTGACTGCTCCAGTGAGTCAACAGCCTTTTCGGTGTCTTGAAATGTGGGTTTGACAATCACGGGTCAATTTCTATCTTGATCGGATCATTCCGCCCACTTACTCTGAACTGTCAATGCCTCTCATCGCTGAAGACAGGATACTGAATCATGGCAAAGTAAACGAAGAAAACAAAGCCAGAAATTAAACTCTAGGCTGGTATTCATGGCATTGCAATGGAAATGCCGCTTGCAAAGTTGCAGTGCATTGAAAGTCACCGCCCACCTCGTACCAGTCGCGTCGCAACAATTGGAACACGCCCTTGCGGCCAGATGAATCCCATCTCTGGATCTTTTTCGGTACTTTATACTGTCTAGTTTCGGGACACTGAGTCTGCTGTTAAAAACAGCAAATTGGTCGACCGGCCGGGCCATAGGGAATACACTGATTTGTTGCCGACCTGTCACCGAGTCGGCCGACCAACTAAAAATCACAGGACATTTTTTTGTCGCCAGGTTGGAATGAAACCTAGGAAAGATATCAGGGTATCGTAGAGTACGATAGAGAGTCTTTACAGAGATGTTTGCTTGTGTTGTGTGACGAAATTTAGTACTATGGAGGCACAGTATCTATGTATGGAAACCTCATGATATTTTGCACAGTGTGCTGTATCTTATCGTCTTGACCGTCACCAAAAATTGCCGTCCAAAACCATTTTTGGCACCAAGCCCTCCGTGAATACATGCATTTCTGTCGCCGACCTTATCCACCAAATCGGCAGGTTTTACTACCCCTGCATTACGTAAGGTGAACGCCATTTGGAGTCTGTGTGCGGTCATTTTTTACGGCTCGTAAATTAGAGTCTAAATCCGGATCCTCGGATGTTGAAAGCGAGTTCAAGGCCGAGGTCAACCTCAAGGCGTAAAGTTCCTTTTCCAGTTGGGGGGTTGGCGGAGGGGGGCTGGGAGGCAGGATTGTGCCCAGGGGTGAGGAAAGTGCCCTTTCTGTTATCGACGAAACTTGGAACCGTCTAAATTGTCACTTGGAGCCGACTCCTTCACAAACCGTTGCAATATAACTATAAATTTAAGAAACCATAAAGCAAATACAAATTTATGCAATGGGGCATACCCGTCGAACATTTTTGTTTTGAGAGTTTACTTGCATTCAAGTATCATTCACAGGCCATAAAACACGGAATGACGGTTGAGGCTCAACTAATAAAATTATCAGATTGAGGCATATTTAACATAACCAGTTAGCCGGCGAGTAGTTTCCTATTCAGATGGAAGGAGGGCTAACCATGGATAAAGCTTACTATTGTTAGCTATCATTTAAGTATTATTCTTCATTCATCGAAAATTTAAAGTTTAGGCCCCCAAGCTAATTTTGAGAAACTACACCCCTGTCTCCAACTGTGAAAGGAAAGAGCGTAAAATCTGTGGAGGGAGCTGCTTTGAGTGCATTTTGGATGCAGACTCAGTTATTTTTACCTTGTCCCCGCCGCAAAACTGCATCCCTATAGCCTTATATTTTTCGACAGCATGGTTCTTCAAGCACTGACAACAATATCACCCTCGGTTTCGTGGCATTATCGCACATTCAGCTAAGCGCGCAGGCGACATTCACTATCTTCGCGCAATTATTACTGGTGCAAAACTTACACCTCCTAACACGATCTCAATCAGTTAGAGCCAAACCCATGCAATATTGGTGTCAACATATTCGAAACACATTTTTAAGCACCGCTACCGCCTCCATTCAGCTTGATATATAACATGATGAAAAGATTAAGCGTTTTATGTAACGCCTGTCTACTGATCAGTACGCTAAGCCAGAGGTGCAGCGGACAATGTGAGAGGCCTACAACAGTGATGCCCAGTCTCCTTCTCAAAGCTGCTTTTACTCTCAGGAGCAGCAAGCTCGGATGAATCTTTGGCATGTGTCGCTCCAATGTTCTCCGTTTACCTCTGAAACTACAGCTCAGATCCAAGCAAAAAACAACAACAACAATCCTCCAAGACCGGCAGGACTACTTAACACCAGTACATCAAAAAGCTGCCGATAAACTACGTCCTTTTAGCCGGCCAGCTTCCCAAATGAACACAACTAACAGCAGGCCACAGCCTTGCGCTGAATCCAACGTGTCACCATGTGGCGACTGTTCGAACCCATCTGTCTCAAATGGCGCGACGCTTTAAAACGCTGCGTGGCAAACTGAAATGTTCGCCGCGAGATGCTGCCGCCAGCTACGATCATTTCAACTAGAAAGAAGCTTAGTTATTTGGTATTTTATACTGTTTACCATGTGAAGTGAATCTTGACTGAATAAAATCAGTGAAAGGCACTGCTCTGAGGGCATTGGAAAAATGCTGTGTCACTGCCGACCTGTGACGTCAGCACTGATAAAGTATGTTTTGCAGTACACTTCTGGCACTTGCTAACAACTATTCTGATTAAAGCTATTATGTTTCGCAGCATCTTACGGCTTAATTTGCCACTACAGTGAAACGTCAACGTTTTGACATTTGTTCCACACATGTTCACGTTGCAAATATTAACGAGCACAGACCGATGCTGAGCTTCGGGTTCCGTTTAGCTGGGATAGTCAGTTGTACTGTGGTCTTGTCTACTGAAATTTGTTTGTTTTTTCAGTTTTGTCACCAACTGGTTCAAAAAGTGTCATTTTTTGTCACCGATCATATCCGGTGAATCAAAAGCTTTTTCACCGCTGACTGTGCCTCTCAACCAGGGATGCAGTTTCCTATTTTAGTTATCATTTTATCCATCTTTTTTCATTTATCATGATTTGGGGTTCAGTCCGCTAAAATCAGATTTTGAAAAATTACATCTCTGCTGCGAGCTGCGAAAAATTGCGTCGAATCTGGGGAGAAAACTGTTTTCAGCGCATTTCGGTGGCAGACTCAAATATTCTTTCTTCCTGCGTATACCTTCCTTTCATCCCTCCATCCACGCATTTTTGCAAAACTGCATCCCTGTGGCTCTACCTTTAACGGTAACATGGTTTTACAAGCACATGAAATAATATTGCTGTTGGTTTTGTGACATCATTGTACAATCAACTGCAGGCGTTGGCGACGCCGAATCATCTGAAAGCGTGTCACTCCAACGGCCTCCGTTGAATGCAACCAACATCAGACCACAGCCTCCCACTGAACCCAACGCATTACCGCGTGGTGAGCAATCAAGCCCATCGGTCTCAAATGGCACGACGCCTTAAAACGCTGCGTAGCAAGTTGGGAAATATTTTATGAATCAACTTACCCATATAGCAAATATATATATATATATATATATATATATATATATATATATATATATATATATATATATATAATATAGTTTTATTCAGTGATTTTATTCATATATATATATATATATATATATATATATATGAATAAAATCACTGAATAAAATTATATATATTATATATTATATATATACACATATATATATGCATATATATATATATATATATATATATATATATATATATATATATGCATAGTTGATATGTGTCACCCACACATAGTTTCGATATGTGCTCGCGCTTGCAGCATGAGCACAGTACAAACCAATATCAAGCTTTGTGTTTTTGTCCAGCTGGGGTAATCTGTTTTAATCCGGCTTGTCTGATGAAATTTGTGTTCAATTTCTCAATTTTGTCACCAAATGATTCACAAAAGTGTCAGCCTTTTCACCGATCATATCCGTTGGGTCAGAAGTTTTTCACCTCTGTACCCAAGCTTGATTGAGCCTTACCAAGAAGCCCGAATTTAACCTGAACCATCGTAGCGAACGGAATTCAATAAGTACGGAGGTGCTCAAAGATATTACATATACCGGACTTTCGCAGCCTGTGTTTTGTTATTAACATGAGCCGTTCAACCATGGCTGAAAATTGGCTGATAATCAATACTCTGTCAGAGCCTCGGATTGCTGGAATCGTTGGGACTGGGACTGAGTAAAAATCCGAGCCGCGGGTCTTCAATCCGAGTTGACTTTCTTCTTCGTTCCGAATCCCGAAACGGCACGGGTTTAGTCGGAACTTGAGTCGGGCTGGGATCAGACTCACGCCTGCCCGCTTGTAACATAGAACGCGCCAACCCGCTTGTAGCGCAGAACGGCCGGTGCTATTCCCGGCACGAAACGACCCGTCCCGCTCGTACAATAGCATGTCTGTTCTGCTCGTAACGCAAAGCAGCCCACCCAGCTGGTTCCAGGGAACGGGCTCTTATACGGCTGCCTACACAGGAACGACACAGCGCCTGTCTCCTGTATTACTGATAACATGGGGCGAAACCCGTCGCCCCCTGCTTCTCCCGCATTGGAGACCTGATCAGGGCAGCTGTCTATTGTTCAATGCCTGCGTTCCCAAGTGTTTCCGTTGTGCACTGCCGTGAAGACATCCATTGAGCACAAATACGTTTTGATGCACACCATGTGCAAATCAGCTCACACAGAGTGCCCTCAACAAACATGCAGTGGTCACAGACTATTTGGCCGCCTGCCAGGCGCATGGCTGCGACATGAGTCGAAAGGTCATTAACTTTCTTAGTCCCAACAAACACGTTCCGGGCCGCCTATAGGTGCGCGGATGACGGGCGTTGTGCAAGCTCATTGCGAGCTCATATAGTGTGACCACTTCTCCAAGTCCTTGCCGTCACCCTATGTATTTCACTCCATCCAGAACAAGGTCATGAAGGGTCAGAGTCACGCTTCCTGCGAGACGAGCATATGAGGAACCGGACCCACACCCCCAGCGCTCACGATGGTGTGTTGGATAATCAAATGAATACACGACTGAGATTCAGACGCGTTGTTAGTAAAATTCAATTGTAACATGAGTTTGTGACGCTTCTTACGCATGCCGCAAATAATGTAGTGTGTTTACCGATGAAGGAAATTTCCAGCCTGAAAGACGGGTTTTGAGCGCATACTTTGTATATGATGTCACTGTGGCAGAGTTGACCCCGACCCTTACAGACGCAGCCACGGCAGAGCTGTCGCCACCTGCTTCAGATGACGTCGCTGGATCAGAGCCGCCAACCTCACCTCTTGCCGATGATTCCCAACAGCGCGGGGCTGGCGTCTCCTGTTTCCGGCGGTGACGTCACACTAGAGCTGACTAGCCACCACTGACGTCACATTAGAGCTGACCAGCTATCACTAACGACGCCCGTTGCAGATGATGTCGCTCAACTCGGACGTGCTGCCGCAGTACCGCCAGGAGGCGCCCAAGACGCCGCCGCACATCCTCCTCCACTACTGTGCCTTCAAAGCCATCTGGGACTGGGCCATCCTCTGCCTCACCTTCTACACCGCCATCATGGTGCCATTCAACGTGGCGTTCAAGAACAAGACGTCGGAGGACGTCAGCCTGCTTGTTGTTGACTCCATCGTGGACGTCATCTTCTTCATCGACATCGTGCTCAACTTTCACACGACGTTCGTCGGCCCCGGCGGCGAGGTGGTGAGCGACCCGAAGATCATCCGCATGAACTACCTCAAGTCGTGGTTCATCATCGACCTGCTCTCGTGTCTGCCTTACGACGTGTTCAACGCCTTCGATCACGACGAAGACGTGAGTACAGCGTCATCGGCATCAGCATAACAAAAGTGCTCACTGATGACAATGGCCCCCTATGAAACCAAATCAGAGCTGTCTCATGGTTCATGAATCGTCGCGGCGTCCAATGCTGTTGCACGCCTTGAGCGACAACTTATGGAACTGTTTCGGTTACGCTTTCGAGGGCAAACAGCCACGGTTCAGTCATTTTCGAAATAGAATGCTTGTTTGACAACTGATTTCAAAACACCATTGCCATCTAATGATCCTCAAAATATTGGGCCACATTTGTCTGAATCGAAAATTCCTATGGATGGTGTATCATGATTTATTATGATTATGCATTGGACCATGGTTGATGCACTAAATGTATTAAAATATGTAAGATGATGTTGATAAGATGATATTTGAACATGAATGATGTTGTCCACGGATTGCTGGCTGTTACGCCGGCCCGTTGAGACTGATGTCAGAGTGCCGGTTTCATGTCACAGCATGTGCAAGACGCAGTGTGTGAGTGCGGGATAAACAACTGGGGGATGGGGTGAGTTGGGGAGGAGGACATCGCACATGGCGTGTCGCATTTCCCCTGGAAGGATTATTATGAATTTTCGAGTGGAAGGGGGGGGGGATTTTGCCGGATGTGTTATTAATCCGAACGCTGCTTGGCTGGCAGGCTGGTTCAAAACTATGACACAGTTTGAACGGTTTTGGGTGGTGAGGTCAGGGCACACTCAACATGACGTTCTTAGAGAAGACTCTGATCCCAACGCTAAATGAGCAAATAATTTAGTTGGCTACATGTCCTGAACAATGAATGTTTCAATGACATTTAATCCAAGAACATAAATGTGATGAA